AAAATCGAAAATTGTAGAAACGAGTCAAAAATAGTCAAAAATTTTAAAAAAGTAGAAAAAAAGTCAAAAACTCTAAAATAGTCGGAAAAACTTGAAAAAAGTCAAAAAATAGTCGGAAAAAAGTAGAAAGAAGTCGAAAATAGACAAAAAGTCGAAAAAAGTCAGAAAAAGTCGAAAAAAGTCGAAAAAGTCGAAAAAAGTCGAAAAAGTCGAAAAAAGTCGGAAAAAGTCGGAAAAAGTCTAAAAGTCGACATTTATTTAAATGAAAAAAATCGAAAAGTCGAAAAATCAACTTTTCATAAAATGCAAAAAGTCGAAAAGTCGACTTTTAACTAAATGAAAAAAGTCGAAAAGTCGACTTTTCTTTTCAACTATAGAACCCTAGTCGGTAACTATCACTGATGGAATACATTTTATTTTAGAGTAGGGTTCTATAGTTGAAACGAAAAGTCGACTTTTCGACTTCTGCATTTAGTTAAAGTCGACTTTCTAACTTTTTGCATTTATGAAAAGTCGATTTTTCAACTTTTTTATTTAATTAAAAGACGACTTTTCGACTTTTAGTATTATATAAATAGTCGACTTTTTCCGACTTTTGTCGAATTTTCGACATTCTTCATTTCGACTTTTGGACTATCTTCGCCTTTTTTCGACTTTTCGATTATTTTCGACTTTTTTCGACCTTTTCCGACTTTTTTGACTTTCCGACTTTTCGATTTTTATTTACAAAGTCGACTTTTCTACTTTTTTTATAGACGATAGTCGAGTTATCTTTTTTGGAACAAAATAGTCGACTTCGACTTTTTCGACAAAAAAGTCGATTGTTAGATAATTCGAAAGTCGAGAAGCGAAAAATGACGTCAGGGTTTGAACTTTTCTCTACATGGGTAATCCAAGAATCGATTTTTTGTTGTAAAAAGTTGACCTTTTATACTAACAAAGTCAAGGTATCGATTTTGCAAATAAAAGTCGGGAAAAATGTGAAAAAAATCATTTAAATTTAACTAATAACTTTTTGTTTCAATGACCAATGAGTTCAATTATAATGTATAATAATAATAATAATTATAATTTATAATAATAATAATTATAATTTATAATAAATATTTAGTCGAAAATTGTCGAAAGTCGACTTTTCATAAAACATAAGCTGAAAAATCGACTTTTCATAAAATGCATAAAGTGAAAGTCGATTTTTTGTTTCAACTATAAGAATTGGTCGATAGCACAGTTTTCTATACACTGTTGTATCTTTTGATTTTTACCTTATTGTTACTTACTTATCATGTTTCGTTAAGTAAATTAAGTTGGAATTTGCAGTGATTTTAAATTATATATTCGTTTTTCGTTCTTTATTATCTTTTTTTAAGTTTTAACAATTACATTTAATAAATTTAACAAAATATTTTCTATATTTACGAGTATTTTACACAAAAAAAAAAAAACAATGGTTTTCTAAAGGATTGATATGTTCGTTCGTTATCTATTTTTAAACGGTATAATGGGTAATAGAGTACAGTTTTCTTTTTCGTTCAATGGTTTTTTGTTTTTGATTTGTTTAATAAAATCGAGTGACTGGGGTATTTAAGTAAATAAATACAGATTTTTGGTTAATATAGACAAAACCTATAAAAATTTATATTATTTTACTGGGAAAAGGGTCAACATATAAAAGTTTTTTACTTTTGTATTGTATTTTTGCTGTCAAATCTGTATTAATACTTCTGGTTTAAATGCAAATTCTTAGATCTCGTTTTGATATAATAAAAAACTTGAATAATTTGATTATATTGCAGCAGACTTTCGACTAATTTTTATATGTATGTATATTCCGGAGAAATTTGGAACTATTTAAAAACTAATAAGTTTATTTTAATTAAATTATACTGAAACAGAATACAATTTATTTGTTGATAATACTACCTCGATTTTATAGTGATCATTTCTATTTTAAAGTGTTATTTGTTGTTGCAGTTCTTTGAAATGTTTGTTTTTCATTTGGATTTATAGTAAAAATACAAATTTGAACACATTTAACTTAAAAATTAACAAATAATAAAAAACGGAAGCTTAAAAAATTAATTATTGTAGAGATCAAACTCTGTTTTTGTTTTGTTATTGGTTTTTGTGTTTTAAAATTCTTTCAAATCATTGATTCAAACCGAGGTTTCTGTTGGTGAAACATAGAAGTGTCGACTACTTGTATTTGTATATCCGTGCCATATTTGCATCGACGAATTAAATGCTTTGTGCTGAAATTTATAAATAAAGCTAAAATTTAGTTTTCAAAATATTAATATTTTGAAATATGTATGTATTTCTTAAATGTTTAAAACTAATCACAAATTGGCAAAATGTATTAAAACATGCAATTTGTTTTTGTTTTTTTTTTTTTTGGTTTTTTGCTAAATAATGAATAAATGATTTGATTATAAAATGTTTTATAATAAATAATGACAGGTGCTGGACATCTAAATGAAAAGTTTCAATTACAAATATTTCAAGAACAAACAACAACATCAACAGCAACAACACTTTCTATTTACTAAATTTCAACTAAAAATTTATAAAAAAATAAAACAACAAATGATTTGCAGATTTTAATGAAGTTTTTTTTGTTTATTTGTAAAATGTTTACTAAAAATTATTAAGTAAAACCATAACAAAGGGATTTCAAAATTGCTATTTATTTAAATGTTTTGTTTGTGACATTTAATTTATTAAATATAAATAAATATGGTACATATTTTATAGGTTAAGTTAATTATTGTTTTAATAATTTATTACTGTAGCAAATTAACATAAAATACTGATAATAATGACAATAAGCTTTTGTCGTTTGCATTAAAATCTTAAGTTTTTAAAATAAATTATTTAAGTTTAAGCCAAATTATTACAACACACTCTGTCAAATTAAACACAGCCTCCTTATAATTAAACTAATTATTTTTCACATTACCTTGCATTCTTTTTAAATAAAAAAAAAACTTAAATTAATTTAAGTAGCATTCTTATAAACTCGTTTTACTTTTCAAGCCTTACAAATGATTTTAGCTAAAATTTGTATAAACGAGTTTATATAGAAATTAGCTTTTGTATATATTGTTTTAATAATACTTATCTGTTCTTTAACTTCTTTTACAATTGTTTGGAGTTGTGTAATACATCATTGCTTTTTGACTATTTTTAAAGTTAATTTATTGAAAATCTATTTTATATTTGGAAGCAAATAAAAATTAGCAGGGAATATAAAAATTAGTTTGAGGTTCTTATCAAAGCATTTTTATAAATTTTCTTTTCTTCCTATTTTACCATTATAAATGTCTTATTAGTTTGCAAATAGTTTTCAAAATTCTTGTGCTTTAAAGAAAATAAAAATAAAATTTTGTTGTTTTTTTTTTTTCTCAGAGATTTTTATCGAAAAATATAAATAATTTTTGTGCGATTCAATTTCATATCACATTAATATATTTTTTTCTATATATTTGAGTTTTGTGCAAATTTTGCCAATATCTTTTCAACATAAAATAATAGAAAAAACGAAATTAATAGTTATTTGGTTTTAGGTTTAATTGACGGTTTCCAAAAATGTATCATGAGTGTACAAAATAGTTTTTTAATTGCTGCCCGAATAAAATTTGAAAAATTTTGATTTTTGACTTCTTTTTATAAAAGATCCGTAAAAGATAGATTTTTAATCTTAATACAGACTTTTTTTGACTTTTTTGCCTTTAATAAAACAAAATCGATTATTTGACTTTCGATATATTGACTTTTGCGGACAAAATAGTATAATTTTGAACTTTTTTTCTTTGAAAAATCGATAGTTCCAAAGTCGATTTAAACAAAACTTGTTGAGACCTTTAGAAAAGAAGTTTCTATGAAAAATTAAGGCGGTCACAGTTAAAAATCGGTGCCGGCTATTTTTGAGACAACTCTCTATGTTTCAAAATTAAATGGTGACTAGTTAGACGAAAAGTGATTCAAAAATGATCGATTTTGGATTTATGCGGAAAGATTTGAGTCTTTGTGATTTCATAAGAAAAAATTGTGAATTGTTATATTATATTCAGATAAGAACAATAACGATAATTTAAAATTCAGAATATAACTATTAAAAATGATCTTTTTTGAAATTCAGAACAACAGCTCTATTAAATTTGTCTTGTTCTTGGAAAATAAAAGAAACTAGACTTTAAAAGTATTAACATTTTTTTGAAAATAGTTGTTCTTCAAAAAGAGACGTTAAATCGTATGTTTCTATAGATTTGTATTTCAACCTTTTTCCGACTTTTATTTACAAAGTCGTCTTTTTGATTTTTTTCCTACGAGATAGTCGACTTTTGAATAAAATAATCAACTTCGACTTTTCGAATATATCCGATAAAAAGTCGATTGTTCGAAAGCCTATTTATAGTCCTACAAGTAGGGTTTTATAAATCGACTTTCGAATAATCGAAAATCGAAACAATTTCGATTAATCGAAAAAAGTCGAAAAGTCGATGTCGACTATTTTGTTCCAAAAAAGTCGATACCTCTACTATCGTCTATGAAAAAGGTCGGAAAGTCGACTTTGTAAATAAAAGTCGTAAAAGTCTAAAAGAGTCGAAAAGTCGGAAAGTCGACTTTTTAAATAAAAGTTGTAAAAGTCTAAAAAAGTCGAAAATAATCAAAAAAGTCGAAAATAATCGAAAAAAGTCGAAAAATCAACTTTTCATAAAATGCAAAAAGTCGAAAAGTCGACTTTTCGTTTCAACTATAGAACCCTACATACAAGATAGAGAAAATGAGTCTTGTTTGTAAATTAAAGTAGAAAAAAGTCGAAATAGGTAGAAAAAATGGATAAAGTCTATAAAAGTAGAAAAAATCGCTACGTACAGACATATTTATAATATTATATAAAAAATCTAAAGTTTGTATTGAAAAAAACTTGAAAAAAGTCGCAAAATCAACTTTTTATACATTGAAAAAAGTCGTAAAGTCAAATTTTTATAGATTGCAAAAACTCAAAAAGTCGCAAACAAACTGACATTGCCAACTTGTACTAAATTTAACAAATAACAGAATTTTGTTTGATTTTAAAAATTGAAAATAGAATACGAAATTAAATTTCTTCCGAACAGTCAACAGCAATTAATTAATATGTACTGCATTTATATGTACTAATGTAAATGGAATCTTTTTTCAATATCTTAATTGTTATTACTTTTAAAAGTATAACAATTACTTAATACATATTCATATTTTATCTTAATACTTGTTATTATTAATATAAAATGTAAGATTATTTTGTTTAAAAAACATCAAATCTCTACTACGATATCTGTTATAAATAAATAATAAATAAATCTCGAGAATTTACATTCTCGTTTTACAAATAGTACATGGAGAGAAATTATAGGTTAATATGTATATAACGCAAAACCGTTTACAATTAGCAATACTTAGTAAATACTACATGATTGACAGATATTCATAATAAATTGCTCATGTGCCACTAAAATCTAGACGGGTGTTATATCATTTTTGCTGAAATCTATAATATTGCTGGAACCATTGTTGGTCATATCCTTGCAGGCTTCAACTTTAAGCGTTAGATTATTGAAATTTTTGGGTGTTGATAAATTTTCGTCATCTTCCTCATTCATGGTAGATAAGCGTTGATTATTTTTACTAAGAATATTTTTATTTTATATAATTTAGATTTAAGTTAATGATATTTTTAAAAGCAGATGAAGAACTTTCTAGCTTAAAATTAAAATGCTAATTTTATAACACTACAGTTTTTTTTTTTGGGCTACATTTATTGGTTTTATAACAATTTTTATGTCTTGTCTTTATTTAATTTATCTATTAGTTATTTTTGTTGTAATTATTTTAATTAGAAAACTAAAAAAAACTTACTTTTGACTGCCATTGATTTGTCGCACCTTGGCAGTTACCGGTATTATCAATTGATCGGCCGATGTACCATCCTTATTAACCTGTTGCCATATGGTGGTTCTTTGAACGTCTTGTGTAACATTTGCTTGTAGATTGGGCGTTGCATTGTTATTGGCTCCCCCATTTGCCAGGGGTATATGTATAGTTGTGGGTCCAGGATTCATAGTTGAATTGTATTTTTCATACTTATCATGATGATGATCCTTAAAATAATAGCATGGTTTGGTATTTTTTGTTTGCTCATATATACAATACATATAACTTTGTGTGTATTATATAATTTGAAATATAAGTTGGTGTAAAATCGGTTATAAGTACATCTAGAAATTTAAACCATTCTATGTCTAGCTTACTAGATTTTTATTAACAAATTGTGTATGGTGCTGTGGTGGGGAAGAAATGTGTTTTTTATATAGAACTTAGATGATTTGAAAAGAACTTTAATCCCATAACTTGTGAAAGCTTATAAAAGGTTTGCTATTTTCTAGCTTATTTTAAAATAAATTGATAAAAATTCTTTAAGTTGAGAACTTTGTATAACAACACTATGTAAGTCCTAGTTCAGTGCAGGGGTTCTCAGAAATATTAACTTCGTTAACTCTTTAAAAAATTAATTTAATTTCGCGGACCCCATAGCTATTTTGATATCTAATTGTTCTAACTGATTGCACGTCTAAAAATTGTGTTCCTTCTAGTCCATAAATCTCAAGGTTGAATAAAAGTACAGATATCATATCTTTTAAATATTCCCGTACATTGAGAATATTTAAACACTATAGACTAGACTATAGACTAGACTATAGACTAGACTATAGACTAGACTATAGACTAGACTATAGACTAGACTATAGACTAGACTACAGACTAGACTATGGACTAGACTATAGAATAGACTATAGACTAGACTATAGAATAGACTATAGACTAGACTATAGAATAGACTATAGACTAGACTATAGAATAGACTATAGACTAGACTATAGACTAGACTATAGACTAGACTATAGACCAGACTATAGACTAGACTATAGATTAGACTATAGATTAGACTATAGACTAGACTATAGACTAGACTATGGACTAGACTATAGACTAGACTATAGACTAGACTATATACTAGACTAGACTATTGACTAGACTATAGACTAGACTATAGACTAGACTATAGACTAGACTATAGACTAGACTATAGACTAGACTATAGACTAGACTATAGACTAGACTATAGACTAGACTATAGACTAGACTATAGACTAGACTATAGACTAGACTATAGACTAGACTATAGACTAGACTATAGACTAGACTATAGACTAGACTATAGACTAGACTATAGACTAGACTATATAGACTAGACTATAGACTAGACTATAGACTAGACTATAGACTAGACTATAGACTAGACTATAGACTAGACTATAGACTAGACTATAGACTAGACTATAGACTAGACTATAGACTAGACTATATAGACTATACTAGACTAGACTAGACTATAGACTAGACTATAGACTAGACTATAGACTAGACTATAGACTAGACTATAGACTAGACTATAGACTAGACTATAGACTAGACTATAGACTAGACTATAGACTAGACTATAGACTAGACTATAGACTAGACTATAGACTAGACTATAGACTAGACTGTAGACTAGACTATAGACTAGACTATAGACTAGACTATAGACTAGACTATAGACTAGACTATAGACTAGACTATAGACTAGACTATAGACTAGACTATAGACTAGACTATAGACTAGACTATAGACTAGACTATAGACTAGACTATAGACTAGACTATAGACTAGACTATAGACTAGACTATAGACTAGACTATAGACTAGACTATAGACTAGACTATAGACTAGACTATAGACTACTATAGACTAGACTATAGACTAGACTATAGACTAGACTATAGACTAGACTATAGACTAGACTATAGACTAGACTATAGACTAGACTATAGACTAGACTATAGACTAGACTATAGACTAGACTATAGACTAGACTATAGACTAGACTATAGACTAGACTATAGACTAGACTATAGACTAGACTATAGGCTACACTACAGACTAGACTATAGACTAGACTATAGGCTACACTACAGACTAGACTATAGACTAGACTGTAGACTAGACTATAGACTAGACTATAGACTAGACTATAGACTAGACTATAGACTAGACTATAGACTAGACTATAGACTAGACTATAGACTAGACTATAGACTAGACTATATACTAGACTATATACTAGACTATAGACTAGACTACAGACTAGACCAGAGATTAGACTATAGATTAGACTATAGACTAGACTATAGACTAGACCAGAGAATAGACTATATATAGACTGGACCATAGACTATATACTGGTCTATTGAGTACTATAAGAACTACTTATCAAAATTTATAAATTTGAAAAAAGTACTAAAAATGTCGTGGGGTACTAAGGTATTTTTCGATATCAAAAGGTACTAAAAAAGTATTAAAGTACTGAATTTTCCATGACTGATATGTATGTATGTAGAAGAAGAGTAGAGTAATAGATAGAGAGAGAAATAAGTGTATATAAATTAAACCAGAATAATTAGAGAAGTAATTACCAATGCTGAAAACTGATAATATTTCGATAATGATTTTGAAAACTTTTAAAACCAATTAATTAAAAGTGGAAAGTAAACAGTGGGTGTAGGGGATATATTTTTTGGTGAATAATTTTATTTAATCACTATAGTATATTTCAAAAAAACAATTACTTAAAAGTAAATTAATTCTTTTTTAAGTTTCGTTTACATAAAGCTTTAAAATTAATTAAACAAACAGTTAAAAAGTATGTGTGATGTTTGGTAATAGATCAGAGTTTTTAATGGTTTCTTTAGGACTGTCTGAATAATTTCTTTAGTTTAAAATCAATTTTCTGTTTCTTTTTTTCAAATTTGTTTATAACTGTTTTATATAAAAATTTTTGTAAAAATCTTTTGCTGATTTATATTTTTATTGGTTTTTTCTTTCTTTTTTTTTTGTTAGGAAATCATTGTCTTTTTTGTAGTTTTTTTTTTGTTGTTATATAATTAAATATAAAATATATTTTTATAGCATTATACATATAATACGTGTTTAGGTACGTTTTTATATTGACTTAGCGGGTTTTCTTTTAAAATATTTAGTTTTTAATAAAAATAATAAAATAATAAAAAAAAATAAAATTGAAAAAAATTAAAAGAAAGCTCTAAAAACAACTATAAACTACGGTATTTGTATGTGGCTTAAAAACAAAATATTTAAATATAAAGGCAACAATTTAAAATACTTAAAAAAAGGGTGGCGTATTAAATATTTAATATAAAATAAAATGACTTTTGAACTTGTTGTTGTAGTTTAAAAATTTGATAATTATAATAAAAAATAATTAATTAATTAAATTATATGGCTGGCTCTATTATTAATATATATTAAAAAAAACAAATGCACATAAATGCATGCCTACTTAAGAAAATAAAATTTTAAATAAAAATTATTCTAAAATAAAATATTTTTCTTTTTTGAACAAATACTGATTTGCTTAGATATTATAAATATATTATACATACATATAACAAAATTATACTTAAGACTAAATTAAAATAATAATTATGCAAATAATTAAAAAAATAATAAAATTTAAACTACAGTGCTAGTATAACGTTTGAAAAGTTACAGAACAGAAAAACTACTGTGCAACAAAAATACACATAGAGAAAAATCATAAAACACAATTTTTATTTTGGTGTTTTTTTTTGAGAAAAAAAAAAAAAAAAAAAAAATTAAATTAAATGAAAAAAATAATAAAGAAATAAAATGAAACAGTTTAAAAAGTTTAAACCTCCTCCTCCCACTTTAAGGTGCAAATAGTAGCAAAGTAAACATAAGTAGTGAGTGGAGTGGTTGTCGCCTTGTAGTGTAAAGGGTGGCTAGAGGTCATAAACTTCTGTGATAAAATGTTTTTTTTATCGTAAAAAGTGCATTGCATTTAATTCTTTTTGTAAAAATTTGTATTTTTTTAAATTGATTTTTTGAGGTTTTGTTTGTTTTTATTTTTTCAATAAGGAACTTTGTGCTTCCAATTCTTTTTCATTCGCCTGTGTTAGACTACCATTTCGAATGTTGATTTTGCTACTATTTTTGGCAGGTTTCTCATTTTTAGAGCTTGACCCACCATCACTACCACCAAAACAAGGTAATAATTTCCTAAATAATCCCACCTCAGCATCCAATTGATGTAGATCATCGGCATTTTGTCTCTTTGTCATCTCGGGCATTATGTCGTCGAGTATCTTAAGTTCACGGCGTGTGAATATCAAATCCAGCGATTTACGTATACCAATCATAACAACCAACATTAGAGGGAACAATATGGAGGTCGATGAGAAGGATTTTATGAGCCATAAGGCTATCAAACAAGCCAATTGTATGAATGTAAAGAGATGAACACGTTTAATGGGGACCTGCAAATAGATTAGAAAAGATATATGATAAATACCATGGTTTTTAAGGGTCGAAATTAAATTTCTATTCTAAAACCCTTAATATCCAAAATTAAAAACCTACCTGTCTAAGGAACATATAGTCAGGTTGATATTTAGCCGGCATAAACATGATTAAAATACGATCGAAGAACTGTAAACCTTTGAGCGAGGCCACACCCATATACAGGAAAACGCCAAACAAAACCGGCATAGGAATATGACACAAAATGGGCGTTAAGAAGACGGACAAACCAATGGTAAGGAAAATCAAGACATGTGTAACACGCTGTTCACGAACACCCAAAAATTGAGGTTTTTCACCGGGAGCTGAGCATTCCGATTCCTGTTTTAGAGAATTAACATGATTAATACTTAAAACAGTAGCGGCCACAAACCTGTAAAGAGAGAAAAGGGAAACATACACTAAATAAAAAGATTCTCTTACAAAATTAACCGCAACTTACCAAGGCAAACCCATGACACTGCAGATTTGTATTAATATGGCCAAAATGAAAAGATCCAAATGATAACCACAACCCTTCTTCAATTTATTCTCTTTGCGATTGATAATAACAGCTGTAATCTGTTGATCCATGAATATAAGTATAGTGCCCAACATGGCTGGTATAACGGCTATAACCGCCGACCAGATGGGATTGTTTTCAGTAAACGGTGGTATAAGCCAATCACGGCTGGGCAATGTAGGTTTCAATTCATGTGGCACCTCTAGTTTAGGCGTATCCACTTGCATTAAAAAGTCCAACAGGCTCATGCTGACAATGGCAATAATAACGGAGAAATCGCTGATATATTGACGTACCACAGTGGGGAAGAATAAAGCATTTTTGAAATCTTTCAAAATGGTAGATATGATAAAGGTACCCAAAAACAATATAACGGACATGAGGAATATATTGGAGTTATCTGGTAGATCACAATCTAAGCCCACTAAAGTGCCATTGTTAGCCTAGAAATGATAAATAAATGTTTATTACTTAATCACTATAAAAAAGAGGGTTTTAGGAAACTTACCAGACAATAATTTTTCTCGTATTTGGCAAAATCCAATATAGTGGCATTACTACCCGGTGGGGGAGTACAAACACAATCATATATCTCCTGATTAACCGGAAACTTTTTACCGATTTTCAAAACATTTTCAACAGCCTGAAATTTTTTAGATTATAGTTTAATAAGAAGATTTAAGGGGTGTTTAACAAATCCTACCTTCATTATAAATATAAATGCAATAAGAGTGGCAAAGTTTTCTTCAGTGAAACGGGTTATATAGCAGACCAAAGCACTGGCATCTATGGCTGTTAGTATCAGTAATATTACCGCTATCCAAGTGCCTATCCAGAAACGGAAGGTCATATAATCCCAACCTTGTTTTAAGCAAAAATCATAAACAATTGTTTCGAATACCAAAACCGGACCAGTTGAACCCAATATGGTCAAAGGTTGACCCGAGAATAGACCATAACCTATGCCGCATACAAAACCAGATACTAAAGATTCCATGGCAGCCATATTTTTACCAGTGGCCTGAGACAATAGGCCACCGAAAGTAATAATAGGAGAGAGACAAGCAAAATACAAGAAAATCCAAGAAGCCACACACTGCATCGAAACGCCATCGGTAAAGTCCGATAAATAAAAGGGAGCCTTACGTTTGACATCGTTTATTAAACCACCAAATAAGCGACCCGAACGCGATAAACCTGATTCTTCTCTGAGGCGTTGTTCTTCCTCTTCTTCGTCTACTTCTTCTTTGGGTACCTCTGGTGGGCGTTTGCGTATCTCTTGTGAAGGAATGGCGGCTGGAGGTTCTATACGTATGGTAGGATCCCATTCACCGGGTGGCAATACCGTCACAGCATCCAAGAACTCATCTATACCCGCCAACAAATGATCACGTTTGCGAGCTCTATAGGCCACTTCATGGAAGATTTCATCAGACATCAGCGTGGCCATGGCACGACCAATTTCATGAAAATTACTTTGACTGCCAGGTGGTCCTAATAATATAAATATAAATCTGTGAAAAAAGAAAAAAACTTTATTTAGAAGGAACTCGCACATTTAAAACTGATGAAGTAATACCTGGTGGGAACTGGTACTTCGGTTAGATCACCCATAACAGAAGCCTCCTTTAAGCGTATAAACCCAGCCAAAGGTTTTTCCAAGAACTCCACTTCACCCACCAAAATATTGCTGGCTTCGGCACCAGGTGGTATTTTGCGCATAAAATGCATATTGCCGCGATGATCGCTCAAATCGGTGCCACTGCTGTTGCGTTGTATCGACTGGCTGCTGGGGCTTTTGATCATGTCTTCTGTTATAACGGGCACTTTATTATTTTTACGTAATTTTTTAGCTTGTTCTTTTTAATATTTTAAACAAATTTTACCAATATTTTTTTTATTGCAAAATACAAATACAAAATTTACCAACAAATTTACAATTGCAAATAAAAGTCAAATTTTACAACAACAGAAATTTACAAGAAATCAAAATAAAATCGTGCAAAAGTAACGAGGATTAGGTGTAAATAAAATAAAAAAGAAGAAATAAATAAAATAATTAAAATTAATATTTGTGTTCTAAATTAAATCAAAAAGCCAGTACAAAGAGAATATTGAGAAAAACATTTATTTTACAAAGAAACGAACATGAAAACTTTGACAGTTTGCCAGCGCAAGATGAGTGTAAGTAGTAATAATGTTAATAGGCAGAGAGGAAAAAGAGGGTGATCATGATGAAAATATATATAGAGAGAGATATGTGTTACTAATTAGTTCTGGTGTTAGAGAGTGTAATTTAGTTATAGTGCTTGTCACAGGATTCATATCCTTAATGTCAAATGTGTTTAATTTTTACAAATGTGTGTAAATATGTAATAGATTTAAAAAATAATACCTCATGCTTATTTTTTTGTTGTATGTTTATCTTGTTTTTGTAGGTTATAACCATTAACTGAACCAATCGGAGTTTTTTTTTTTTAATTATTCACAATATTCAACATATTTATAGTTTTTTATATATAAATTATTAAAGGCAAACAAACCAAAGAATAATAATTTACAGAGATTCAACGAAAAATTTATACAAATGTCTTCAATTTCAACAATAACGTTCTTTTTTTGTTTGTTATATAAAAATTTTATAGGTTTTTACCATTTGGCACGCTTAGGTTTTTCGGTGATTTAGTGCCACCTGGTACGGTTAAGAAACGTCCACCCATGGCACTGATGTCATCACTTTTATTCCCATTCGTACTGGCTGTTAGTGATAGGGGTGATGTTGCTGTCAGACCCGGTGCTGATGAGTAACTATGATCTTCCACTAGAATGGGGGGGTTGGTTTTTATGTTTTAAGTTTTTTTTTATTTTTTTAGACGGGAAACTATTTTTTTATACTAAATATTTGAAAGCTAGATTTCTTTGCAGATTTGTCAGTTAAAAAGCACGATCAGCAAATCAAATACTGATAATTAATATTTAGAATTTTGATACTAGAAAAAGTTCTATATACAAAAGGCTTTATTAAAGATTTTGTTGTTAAAATGTCGTTGAATATATTGAGGAATCAAAGGGTTAACAGAGAAAAGATTACACCGCAGATAAAATATCCTATAACCAACAATTGATAGAGACTTGACCAGATACTGAAATTTGTGATGAGTAAAAAACATGAACTGATTCCAGACAAAGCTTCGACGTCCTGAGAAATCAACAGTTTCGATTTATCTATATTTATTTCGAACCACTAATAAGTTCTAATTCAGCTCTTGTTCAGTTCTAGCTCAGTTCTAGTTCAGTTCTAGTTCAGTTCTAGTTCAGTTCTAGTTCAGTTCTAGTTCAGTTCTAGTTCAGTTCTAGTTCAGTTCTAGTTCAGTTCTAGTTCAGTTCTAGTTCAGTTCTAGTTCAGTTCTAGTTCAGTTCTAGTTCAGTTCTAGTTCAGTTCTAGTTCAGTTCTAGTTCAGTTCTAGTTCAGTTCTAGTTCAGTTCTAGTTCAGTCTAGTTCTAGTTCAGATCTAGTTCAGTTCTAGTTCAGTTCTAGTTCAGTTCTAGTTCAGTTCTAGTTCAGTTCTAGTTCAGTTCTAGTTCAGTTCTAGTTCAGTTCTAGTTCAGTTCTAGTTCAGTTCTAGTTCAGTTCTAGTTCAGTTCTAGTTCAGTTCTAGTTCAGTTCTAGTTCAGTTCTAGTTCAGTTCTAGTTCAGTTCTAGTTCAGTTCTAGTTCAGTTCTAGTTCAGTTCTAGTTCAGTTCTAGTTCAGTTCTAGTTCAGTTCTAGTTCAGTTCTAGTTCAGTTCTAGTTCAGTTCTAGTTCAGTTCTAGTTCAGTTCTAGTTCAGTTCTAGTTCAGTTCTAGTTCAGTTCTAGTTCAGTTCTAGTTCAGTTCTAGTTCAGTTCTAGTTCAGTTCTAGTTCAGTTCTAGTTCAGTTCTAGTTCAGTTCTAGTTCAGTTCTAGTTCAGTTCTAGTTCAGTTCTAGTTCAGTTCTAGTTCAGTTCTAGTTCAGTTCTAGTTCAGTTCTAGTTCAGTTCTAGTTCAGTTCTAGTTCAGTTCTAGTTCAGTTCTAGTTCAGTTCTAGTTCAGTTCTAGTTCAGTTCTAGTTCAGTTCTAGTTCAGTTCTACTTCAGTTCTAGTTCAGTTCTAGTTCAGTTCTAGTTCAGTTCTAGTTCAGTTCTAGTTCAGTTCTAGTTCAGTTCTAGTTCAGTTCTAGTTCAGTTCTAGTTCAGTTCTAGTTCAGTTCTAGTTCAGTTCTAGTTCAGTTCTAGTTCAGTTCTAGTTCAGTTCTAGTTCAGTTCTAGTTCAGTTCTAGTTCAGTTCTAGTTCAGTTCTAGTTCAGTTCTAGTTCAGTTCTAGTTCAGTTCTAGTTCAGTTCTAGTTCAGTTCTAGTTCAGTTCTAGTTCAGTTCTAGTTCAGTTCTAGTTCAGTTCTAGTTCAGTTCTAGTTCAGTTCTAGTTCAGTTCTAGTTCAGTTCTAGTTCAGTTCTAGTTCAGTTCTAGTTCAGTTCTAGTTCAGTTCAGTTCTAGTTCAGTTCTAGTTCAGTTCTAGTTCAGTTCTAGTTCAGTTCTAGTTCAGTTTAGTTAGTTCAGTTCAGTTCTAGTTCAGATCTAGTTCAGTTCTAGTTCAGTTCTAGTTCAGTTCTATTTCTGTTCTAGTTCAGTTCTAGTTCAGTTCTAGTTCAGTTCTAGTTCAGTTCTAGTTCGGTTCTAGTTCGGTTCTAGTTCGGTTCAAGTTCAGTTGTAATACAGTCTTTACTTTTAAAATGTTTGAAAAGTTGTAAAATAATACAAAAATATTATCGGGACATTTTATCGGTTGATTTTGGTGAAAGTGTACTTGCAGTGACCATTCACCTAAAGACTAAATCTGTTCCATATTATTGGATTACAGGTCAAATTATAACATTTGAGCAACGAATACCGCTCTCTTGAATATGATTTTCAATACTGGGAAGTTAAGTAAATCAAAAATTTTCTTATATTATTGTCAAGTTATTCATAATGCATTTATTATTCTGAATTTCCTAAATCCGGGAGTACATGTTCGTAAATATTTCCGGATCGTCGAAATTCAAAAAAGATCGGAAAGTTAAAATAATAAAAAAAAACTTATCAGTTTTAAAACCAGCTAATACTGTAAGCAAAGATTATAGAAAGTGAGAAAGAGAAGGTAAATAGAGAGCCAAAACAAAGTTTGTAACTGAAAAGTTAATATCGATGTTATTAATTTTATTATTAATCTAATCAGAAACTGCTAATTACGGTTTTAATAACATTTTGCACTTAAATGGAAGGACAATTTGAAACGATCTATAAAAATTGACTAGGAACACGAATATTAAGACATGTACAAATTATAAAAATATGTATAAAGTAACAATAAAGATTTTTTTCCATATCAAATTTTGAAACATTAAAATTTATATACAAATATGAAAGTACATATGTATGTAAATAGATTTGATATTTTGAAACAGAGACAAAAGATAGTGTCAAAGAATTTAGACAAATAACATAGAGGTTAGAAAAGGAGTGAGGAGAGAAAAACATATTGCAGAGAATATAAGAGAACATTAAAAGTGTTTTAAATATGTATGTAGAACTTCATATAAAAAAAAAGATTAATAGTTATTAAATAAATGTTAAATTTAAGGTTATTTCATAGTTTAAAGTTTAAATGTAGTTTAAGTAGTAGTAAGTATAATGTATTTTATTATAAACAAAACCTTTGTTATGTTTGTTAGTTGAAAATCCATGAGAACTACAACTAGCTTGACTGTTTTGGGAGGCTGTTGAGGCCCCCGCATGAAACCAGGTGGTAACACCAATGTTTCCCAGATGAGTGGTGGCAATGTGACCAAAATCGGCTAAATTAATTATAACGAATGAATGGGATATATATATAGATACAAATGTAGCAAACAAATTTATTACATATATTTTCTTAATTATTTATAAGGAGTTAGATATGGGGTATAAAGAGAGAGAGAGAGTGTGATTAAGGGAGAGATCGAAGAGATCATATGACTCTCTGTGATGATGAGATGAATTCACAATGATGATTTTTTATAATACAGTAATTGTGGGGGGTGAAAGGGTTTTGATTTCTAGAAACTAGTTAGTTACAGTGATAATGCTGCTGCTGATGATGATCATGAAGAGTGAGTGATTGATGATGATGGCGGTGGAAGTATAGAGGCTGCTTTAGAAGTTTTATAATATTTTGTAGCCATTTTTTAACTTAGGAATCATATACTCAAAGCATTTGCTTAAATTTTGAATAGAAAGTGCTCTGCAACTTTTTTACAAGTGTTACAAAATTAAGATATACAACATTTCCAATGCAAAGAATATATGTTTTTCTTTTAGAATTGGAAATTTTGTATAAGTTTTGAATCATTAAAGATAATATTTTAGAGTTCCAAAAAAGAAGCTGTAATATTCAAGCAAATCTAGATAGAAACAACTTTTGTTGAAATATATTTCTTTTGTACCTGTGGGTACAGCGAGATAACCACCTCGCTGATCTCTACTGGTGGCATACTGTAGATGTGAACTGCTATCAAGTCCTGTTGAGGACACATTCACATGCAAAGAGTGTGTAGAGGCATGTAAATCTTGAAAATTCAATTAATATTAATTTTTATTCATTGTTAGTAAATATTAATCCCACCTATATATATATTAGATACTACTAATTAAGTATGTATTTAAAATAAACGGACTTTAATTAATACTTTACTCTATTAAAACTAAGAGCTACTATGTGATAGTAACGGACTGATTACTTTTCCGGAAATCCATGTTTGATTTTGACTACATACAATTGTAATTGAGGGTATATGTAAGTTATTAGTGTGATAAGACCTTTCTAAATGACTATAATTATAATGAAAAAAAATGTTAATGATGTTCTGATTTTATTTAACTATGCAGATTTTATAAGACAATCAATGTATGTTTAATGAACTTTGTCTGACAAAAGCTTTTTCGTTAAAATGATTTTTTGTTTTAAATTTTCCCAACACACGTATAAGTGTTTGGTTGTATTTTCTAAATTCTATTTTAAAATAAAACCAACATTAACTTACTTTTCGATGATGACTGATTGCGACCAATGTCTGCCAATGAACGTATTATTGGCAATTTTGTTTTCTTATTGTACTCGTGCTGATGACGATGACGCCTTAATAGAGCGTCCTTAACTTTATCACGTGATTCGGGTGGTAGTGCTCTGGCATTGACCATGTGTTCACAGGCTAAATCTGCTATTAAATCCAAATTATTGGCTTCCATGTCAAGTATAACGGTGCCGTTTAGCAGTAGGCTTCTAAGTTCAAACAATGAATGTAATGACAAAGTGGCCACATGTGGCTTTGACCAACGATTACCGCCCTCCTCGACATCCTCTTCGAATTTAATCCATCTTGCTGTTTCTTTCCATTCAATTTCGTCACCTTCCTTAACCAACGTTAAATACTCGGAGAATAGGGGATGTGAAACGTGTGTTCCATCGTCGGCATCTTCTCCCAATATGAATTGTACACGTTGAGCAGGTGGTGTCACTGGAGGTTAAAATGTAATATAAAGAAATTAATTAGCAAGAAATTAAACTTATATTTTATTTGTAATATAATCTTGTTGCTTTAAGAAACAATTAACTAATTGTTTTTGTTTTTGTCTTGCGTCTTGTTATATTTTGTAAAATATGTATTGTGCAATTTAAATTGCATGTCTAATAATAATTTTCAAGTTTATGTTTTAGCATTTCTATTATTTTTAGTTAATTTTAATATCATTTAACTAATGAAATTTGTAACGTTTTATCTTCTAAAATTTTTAAATCGTTTGAATAATTGTTTTTAATTGTAATTTTTTATTTTATTTTATTGAAATCATTAAAAGTATTTTTTTCCTTGTTTTTTTGCAGATTCCGAATCCTGAAAGACAAAATTATTATTGGGTAAGTGAAAATTCTTTCCAAAGAAACGCATGTATAAACTAAATTGATAAGATCGTGATATTAATCGCATGTTCCTGAGTTTAGATGTGTCAATAGAATATACAACTCTACAAACTTTAAACTAGACCATTGTCTAGACTATTAGCAGGGCTATAGTACGGACTACTATCAAGACAATAGACTAGACTATTGTCCAGACTATACTTGATTAAAATCCATATAAGAGACTAAACTATAAACTACGCTATAGTCTATACTATATACTAGGCTATGGTACATATTGTAAACTACACTATAGCCCAGATTATATACTTTTTAAACTATAAACTACGCTATAGTCTATACTATATACTAGGCTATGGTACATATTGTAAACTACACTATAGCCCAGATTATATACTTTTTAGACTATAGTCTAAATAATAGACTAGAGGTCAGATTCTAGAGCAGAATATATTACTTACTATACACTAGGATATATTCCATAATAGACTTGACTATAAACTAGACTACGGACTAGACTATAGACTACACTAGACTAGACTAAATGCTATGCTATGGACTAGACTATAGTCTACAGACTAGGCTATAGACTAGACTATAGACTAGACTATAGACTAGACTATAGACTAGACTATAGACTAGACTATAGACTAGACTATAGACTAGACTATAGACTAGACTATAGACTAGACTATAGACTAGACTATAGACTAGACTATAGACTAGACTATATGACTAGACTATAGACTAGGACTATAGACTAGACTATAGACTAGACTATAGACTAGACTATAGACTAGACATAGACTAGACTATAGACAGACTATAGACTAGACTATAGACTAGACTATAGACTAGACTATAGACTAGACTATAGACTAGACTATAGACTAGACTTATCGACTGACTATAGACTAGACTATAGACTAGACTATAGACTAGACTATAGACTAGACTATAGACTAGACTAGATAGACTAGACTAATAGACTAGACTTAGACTGACTACTTGGACTATAGACTAGACTATAGACTAGACTATAGACTAGACTATAGACTAGACTATAGACTAGACTATAGACTAGACTATAGACTAGACTATAGACTAGACTATAGACTAGACTATAGACTAGACTATAGACTAGACTATAGACTAGACTATAGACTAGACTATAGACTAGACTATAGACTAGACTATAGACTAGACTATAGACTAGACTATAGACTAGACTATAGACTAGACTATAGACTAGACTATAGACTAGACTATAGACTAGACTATAGACTAGACTATAGACTAGACTATAGACTAGACTATAGACTAGACTATAGACTAGACTATAGACTAGACTATAGACTAGACTATAGACTAGACTATAGACTAGACTATAGACTAGACTATAGACTAGACTATAGACTAGACTATAGACTAGACTATAGACTAGACTATAGACTAGACTATAGACTAGACTATAGACTAGACTATAGACTAGACTATAGACTAGACTATAGACTAGACTATAGACTAGACTATAGACTAGACTATAGACTAGACTATAGACTAGACTATAGACTAGACTATAGACTAGACTATAGACTAGACTATAGACTAGACTAGACTAGACTATAGACTAGACTATAGACTAGACTATAGACTAGACTATAGACTAGACTATAGACTAGACTATAGACTAGACTATAGACTAGACTATAGACTAGACTATAGAGTAGACTATAGACTAGACTATAGACTAGACTATAGACTAGACTATAGACTAGACTATAGACTAGACTATAGACTAGACTATAGAGTAGACTATAGACTAGACTATAGAGTAGACTATAGACTAGACTATAGACTAGACTATAGACTAGACTATAGACTAGACTATAGACTAGACTATAGACTAGACTATAGACTAGACTATAGACTAGACTATAGACTAGACTATAGACTAGACTATAGAGACTATAGACTAGACTATAGACTAGACTATAGACTAGACTATAGACTAGACTATAGACTAGACTATAGACTAGACTATAGACTAGACTATAGACTAGACTATAGACTAGACTATAGACTAGACTATAGACTAGACTATAGACTAGACTATAGACTAGACTATAGACTAAACTATAGACTAGACTATAGACTAGACTATAGACTAGACTATAGACTAGACTATAGACTAGACTATAGACTAGGCTATAATCCAAACTTTATACCAGACAATAAACCAGACTAAAGTCCAGATTATAAACTAGACTAGTCCAGACTATAGTCTTGACTATCGAACACTAAAGTTCTTACTTCTTATAGACAATAGTTCTACATTCCAGATTGTAGACTAGAATCATTTTGGAAGCCAGCTTAATTTATTCTTGAAATTTTAAACGAATATCTTGAATGAATGAGACGTCAATATAACATTTAGCTTTTAACTTTGTAATTGCAAATATAACTCACAGTATGAAATCGTTTTGCCATTAATAACTTTTTTCAAATTTCTTAAAAAGGTCCCTTTTTTAAAGCTTTTGTTGTGACACTTTTTAAGCATTACATATTAATATCAATATACACAATATATTTCAATAAACATGTTTTCGATTTTAAAAACCTTAAATAACAAAACAAATAGGGTCAAAATCCTCTATACCCTAACCCACGCAAACCTCTCAATAATGAAAATGTTTTCATTTTCAATATATGTATTTTCAAACACACTTTAGTGTCTACGAAAGAGCGAACATATTTTATGAAAATGTTTTGTTTTCTTTTATAATCGTGTAAGTATCATGTACATATTCCTTACCTGGTCTTTCCACCTCCGGTTGTCTTTCATCGCCGCTACTCTCACTTTTGCTGTGGTGATGTTTGCGTCTTCTTTGTGAATGGCGTCGACCGCCAGGTACATGTACGCCCACATAAACAGAATGTGCTCGATGTCCTGGCAAAATTAACCATAAAAAATGTAAAGAAAATTAAATAAAAGACATTTTAATTATGTCAAATAAAATAAAATTACACTTTCTGCTTATAGATTGTAATTAACAATTTAATATTATTTATTTGAGAGAAACAAACAAACACACACACACATTCAACCCAACAGCTAGACACATGTATCAGATGAAAATATATATATGAAATATATAAAAGCATTATTTGTTTATTATATACTATACATATGTATGTGAATGTATGTATGTTTGTAAGTAGGGTATTGTATTATATACATTTATTATCTGTTGACTGAGTGTGGTGTTACTGACAATTGTTTATATAATAGACACTTGGGCGACATAAGATTAAAATTTATTTCTTTTTATATGTATTTAAACATTAATATTTAATTTTCAATATTTAATTTTGTAAAACGATTTTACCAGAAAAATATTCAATTGACTCGTTCACTACAATTTAACTAGTTCTCAAAATCTTATTAGAGTGAAATTTGTCATTCATCGACAAATTTTAAAACTGATTTCCATATTTTTCGCAAAATTCAAACTCATAATCAAAAAGTTTTTAAAATTTTCGAAAATTCGAACTTATGTACTTTCGAAAGAAACATTTACATATAATTCGAATTTGAAGCTAATTCGTAGAATATTAATTTTTTATTTATAATAAAATTTAGAATAAATTAATATTAAACAGTAGTGTTGTAGGCAAATAAATACATATCTATATTTTGTTTAAATAATAATTAAAATACATTGTTGACATAAATACAAAACCGGCTGCTGTCATACGAATAAGTTATAAACACTTAATCAAATTCATATAACTAATACGTCATGTTGCACGCTTATTGAAAACACTCGAAAAAATTACTTATTAATTTAATTTACACTAAAAAAATTAATGTTACAATTTCAAAAGGATAGCAAAAGGTTAAAATAATTAACATTTTTTCAGGTTTTTTGAAACATTTTATTAAAAAATTAAATAAAATGTTAATTTATTAAATAAATTGTTTTAAAAATTTTTATAAATTCTATTTGAAACTAATTGAATTTTCTTAAAACGAAATATTTTTTATCGCCTTTAAAACACATGCTACAAATTGTTACGCTTTAATAGCTACAGTTCAAATCAAGGTTATCTTTAAATATTTGAAAAAATTTTAATTACATTTAAGCAAATTTATTAAATAATGAATGGGTGGTGGTAAATTAATAGTCTGCTATTAAAATAACAGTTTTGCTCGCCTTACGCACCAAATATTATTTTTTACATAGCGACGCATGACATTAATTTATTTAAAAGTAAGTTTTTTCATAAATTTGTTATTTAGCCAGCAGTTAAAAAAAAAAAACAAAACAAAATCTACAAAAAAAAATTCATACCTAAAAAAAATTACCATAACTGATGTCTGGTTTAACAGGTCTCTGTGTGTTAACATTTTTTTCTACCACATGATACAATGTGTCGCTGTTGTACAATATGTTGTTGTTGGAGTGTAAAGTTACATTATTTACATACATTTAACACATCAAGTTAAGAAAAACACTATTTAAACAAAAAATTCAAAAACCTTAATGGAATGTTAACTCGTGGTAGGTCTTAAATGGTCTGCCTTTTTTGTTTGAAATTTAAAACAGAAATGTTTGGTTTTCTGTTACAAAGTAAACAATTTGTTTTATAATTTGTTAATGAATTGAACAAATTTTTAAACAAATAAATCGTAAGGGAAAAAAGTAATTTTTTCTCACGATAAAATGGAATTGATTTTGTGTTTTTAATTGTAACTAATCAACGTAACTTATACCATATATTTCCCGAATTATAGATTAGACTATAATCCTGGCTATATATTAGACTAAAGACTAGACTAAAGACTAGACTATAGACCAGACTACAAAATAGATTATAATCCAGACTACAGATTAGTCTACAGTCCTGAATATAGACTAGACTATAGTCAAGACTATAGACTAGACTATAGACTTCCATATAGTCCAGACTATAGACTATACTATACTTCAGGCTAGAGACTAGACTATAGTCCACACTAGACACTAGAAAATAGTCCACACTAGAGACTAGACTATTGTCCGACTACTTACTAGACTGTAGCCTAGACTATAGATTATACTATAGTCCAGACTAAACTATACTTCAAACTATGGACTATATACGAGACTAGACTATAGTCCAGACTATAGACTAGACTATAGTCCAGACTATAGATTAGTCGAAACTATAGACTAGACTATAGTCAAGAATATAGACTAGTCTATAGTCCACACAAGAGACTAGACTATAGTCCACACTAGAGACTATAGACTTGACTAGACTATAGACTAGACTATAGTCCAGACTATAAACTAGGCTATAGTCCAGACTATAGACTAGGCTATAGTCCAGACTATAGACTAGACCAAGCTATAGACTAGGCTATAGACCAGACTATAGACTTGGCTATAGTCCAGACTATAGACTAAACTATAGTCCACACCAGAGACTAGACTATAGTCCGCACTAGAGACTAGACTATTGTCCAGTCTAGATACTAGACTATAGTCCAAGCTATAGACTAGGCTATAGTCCAGACTATAGACTAGGCTATAGTCCACACTATAGACTAGAATACAGTCCAGACAATAGCCTAGACTATAGACTAGTCTAGACTATAGTTAAGACTATAGACTAGACTATAGTCCAGACTAGAGACTATAGTCCAGACTATAGACTATTGTCCAGACTATAGACTATAGTCCAGACTATAATTTAGACTATAGTCCAGACTATAGACTATAGTCCAGACTATAGACTTTAGTTTAGACTATAGACTACACTATAGTCAAGACTATATACTTTACTAAACTATAGTCCAGACTATAGACTAGTCCGAACTATAGACTAGGTCTCGACTATATACTAGACTATAGTAACACTAGAGACTAGACTATTGTCCAGACTAGCTACTATAGTCCAAACTATAGACTAGGCTATAGTCCAGACTAGATACTAGACTATAGTCCAAACTATAGACTAGGCTATTATCCAGACTGACTAGACTACAGTCCAGACTATAGACTAGACTATAGTTTAGACTATAGTCTAGACTATTGTTCAGACTATATAGTAGACTAGACTATAGTCCAGATTGCAGAATAGACTATAGACCAGACTATAGCCTAGATTATCGACTAGACTATAGTCAAGTCTATTAACTAGACTATTGACTACCATATAGTCCAGACTATAATCCAGATTATAGACCAGACTAGACTGTAGTCCAGACTATAGACTAGATTATAGTCCGGACTTTGGACTAGACTACAGTCCAGATTATAGACTAGACTATAGTCCATACGAGACTATTTTCCAGACTATGGATTAGACTACACATTAGATTCTAGTCCAGGCTATAGACAAGCTTATAGTCCAGACAATCTTCAAGGCTATAGTCCATATTCGAGACTATACTAAAGTCCATACTATAGACTGGACTTTAGTCCAAATAAAGAATAAACTATATAACTTGGACTATATGCTAGACTAAAGTCTATAGAGTAGGCTATAGTCCATGACATATACTAGACTATAGACTATACTAATATCCAGATTACAGGCTATACTATAGACAAGACTATAGACTAGATTATAGACCATACTATAGACCAGACTATAGACCAGACTATGGACCAGACTATAGACTGGACTATAGTCCAAACTATAGACAAGGCCGTGTACCACCTCATAGACTATACTATAGTCTAGACTATAGACTAGACAATAGTCCAGATTAGAGAATAGACTATAGACAAGTCTTTAGACCATACTATAGAATAGATTATAGACATGACTATAGTTTAGACTATTATTCACAAAAAAACTGATTTTTTTAGTAAAAAGTTTTTCACTCACCTTCAAAATCATTTTCTGTAAATTGTTGTGTAAAATCCTGTTCCCCTATACGAGGATCCTTAGAAGCCTCATCATCACCGCTGGAAGTATGCATGGTCCACGGTCTGTAATTAAACAAAAAATAAATAAAACGTCGTAATTAATAAAAAAATTACTTTTAAATTTAAATATAGACAGTTTAATAGATTAAGTTCTGCGTTATATAATCACATAAAGGTATAAAAAAACAATAACAATGTATAAATAAATTACTAATTATAAATGATTTATGCACATTTAACATTTTTTTCTATTTTATTAAACAAATATTATTTAAAAAGAATTACAATAATCTCAGCGGAATGTGTGTGTTTATTACAACTAGACGTTGGGTGGAGGGTGTTATAATAAATAAATATTTGCATAATTGTATTAAAACTTGTTTGAATTTTGATTACTGCATTTGTCATGATCGACAACACCCACAAAATATGACGAGAATTTATGTAAATTAAAAAAGAAAATAGGATGAACAAATCTTTTGTATTGTTTTGTAATAACTTACAATTTTGTTAATAAATAACAAACTAGAAAATGGTTGAAATTTATTAATCATTACTATGATTAAGTCAATTAAAAAAATAATAATAAATTGTATTTTCATTATAACTTTCGTATAAATTAATAATTTATAAAAATTATTAACAGGATTTGTTGTAAATCTGTTTACTTCACTTTTTAATAATTTCTACATAAATTATTTTTATTCTTTATGGAATTTTTTTTATTAAAAGTTGAGGCATTTTACAAAATTAAAAAATAATTTAAAATCTAAAATATTAGTTATATTTTAAAGATCTTTAATACAAAAGATCATTTCATATTTACATGATCATTTGTTTATTAATTTTTCTGTTTTTTATAAATATTAAAAAAAATTGATAAATATTTACAGATTGTATAAAAAAATTTTAATAAAATTACGTTGTAAATTTACAATTATAACACTTTTTATATAAACCCACCCAGCAAAGATTATTTGTTTTTATAATTTATTTAAATATTTATCTACACTTAACAATTTTGTTTTATTAATTTACATTAATTGTTTTTACTTAATTGGCCGCTTTACATTTCTGTTTCACATTCTTTTCATTTTACACCATTTTACGTTTAAATGCTTTTTTTTTTTTAAATTCATGTTTACATGAATATATTTTGTTGTTCTTTTTTTAATATAATTCTTAAGTTCAAAGTCCCTTAACATTGAAATTTAAGATTATAATTTAGCATTAATTTTTTTTGTATACAAAAATATTGAACAGAAATGAAATATTGTAAAATAAACAAAAATATAAATAATGTTTATTTTGTTTTTGGAGTTTTAAGATCATAGACCAGCCTTGAACCAATTTAACTCGAAGATATTTTTTGTTTGTATTTAATAAAAAAAATAGTGAAATTCTATTATTTTCAAAATGTAAACAATATGTGCGGGTTTACACAGGAAAACTTTTGATTTTGTGTGAGAAAGAAAGAAGTATCAACCATCTCTTTAGTCATCTTGTGATATTTTCGAGATATTCCCGAGATATATCGAGCATATATCATCCGCATTATATTATATTGGAATTAGATTATGCTAAAGTTACTTCTAGAACTGCTATCGATAAAAAGCTCTTATAAGAAAACGCTTGCTCTCTTGTACTCCTATAACTAGTATCGCTAAAAAGCGCTCTCTCTTGATTTTTTACTCACAACAAATAATCCCTTAAAGACCTTATTCATCGAATTACAGCACCTGTTAACATTTCAAATATGTATTACAATAGTATTACTTCTCCATGTATCCATAGTTATATTAAACTTTTAAATAAAATATGCTATAAAACGTCATAATATGCCCCTTCCCCTTAATATCTGGTTTGAAAATGTTTATAGAATATTTTTATAGGAATAATAAAAATAACTATATCTAATCAAAGTAAAATTTTAAAAATACTTTTGTTATAGTTTCTAAAACAAAATGCAATCGTTCAACCACCATATACTAGAGATTTAGATTTATTTAAGTGATTTAACACTGAAAAATTGCGGCTATTAATTAGTAAATTAGATTATCGGTTAAATATAATTTAATAAAATAAACTTGAAAAGCGCAAGTCATTTGAACACGCTTTTCAAATAAAATTTGATTAAAATATTTATTTTGAATTCCCTGAAGGGAATATTGTGTCTGTTGATTCAAGTGGATTAGTTCCATGGTAGTCTAGTCTATAGTCTAGTCTATAGTCTAGTCTATATCTAGTCTTAGTCTAGTCTATAGTCTAGTCTATAGTCTAGTCTATAGTCTAGTCTATAGTCTAGTCTATAGTCTAGTCTATATCTCGTCTATAGTCTAGTCTATAGTCTAGTCTATAGTCTAGTCTATAGTCTAGTCTATAGTCTAGTCTATAGTCTAGTCTATAGTCTAGTCTATAGTCTAGTCTATAGTCTAGTCTATAGTCTAGTCTATAGTCTAGTCTATTCTAGTCTATAGTCTAGTCTATAGTCTAGTCTATAGTCTAGTCTATAGTCTAGTCTATAGTCTAGTCTATAGTCTAGTCTATAGTCTAGTCTATAGTCTAGTCTATAGTCTAGTCTATAGTCTAGTCTATAGTCTAGTCTATAGTCTAGTCTATAGTCTAGTCTATAGTCTAGTCTATAGTCTAGTCTATAGTCTAGTCTCTATAGTCTAGTCTATAGTCTAGTCTAGTCTATAGTCTAGTCTATAGTCTAGTCTATAGTCTAGTCTATAGTCTAGTCTATAGTCTAGTCTATAGTCTAGTCTATAGTCTAGTCTATAGTCTAGTCTATAGTCTAGTCTATAGTCTAGTCTATAGTCTAGTCTATAGTCTAGTCTATAGTCTAGTCTAGTCTAGTCTATAGTCTAGTCTATAGTCTAGTCTATAGTCTAGTCTATAGTCTAGTCTATAGTCTAGTCTATAGTCTAGTCTATAGTCTAGTCTATAGTCTAGTCTATAGTCTAGTCTATAGTCTATAGTCTATAGTCTAGTCTATAGTCTAGTCTATAGTCTAGTCTATAGTCTAGTCTATAGTCTAGTCTATAGTCTAGTCTAGTCTAGTCTATAGTCTAGTCTATAGTCTAGTCTATAGTCTAGTCTATAGTCTAGTCTATAGTCTAGTCTATAGTCTAGTCTAGTCTATAGTCTAGTCTATAGTCTAGTCTATAGTCTAGTCTAGTCTATAGTCTAGTCTATAGTCTAGTCTACTCTAGTCTATAGTCTAGTCTAGTTAGTCTATAGTCTAGTCTATAGTTTAGTCTATTTTATTAATAACAATCTTAATTGTTTTAGTAATTTATTTAATAGTGCTAAAAAGAAAATATTAATTAAGCCAGAAATATAATTATTTAACATTTTAATAACAATTAAATTATAATGAAACTATTACGTTAACTACTTTTTAAAAAAAGCAAAAAAATTTTTGAAAGTAATGAAAAATCAAAATTTTCAAACAATGTAAACAACAAATGCAATGCATAATTATTCTCAACTCTTAATAATTATGTATGTACCGAAGTGCACATGTATTTGTGTAATTAAACAACAATAAAAATGCATTCTAATTATACGGTAGTAATTAAAAGAAAACGCTATAAAAAACCCTTGAACTTGATAAAACCAAACATGAAACACAGCAAAAAAAACTATAAAACTTAAATTGTATTAGAAAAAAAGCTTCCCCCAACAACACACACACTTTTACTAATATGAGAAAGGTCGTGGGGAAAAACTCAAAACTAGAAAAAAGGAAGACAATTTGAAGAGTAAAAAAACAACTTAAGTGCATAAAATCCCACTTGTAGTAAGGAAACTAAAATGAAAAAAAAAATCATAAATCTTTTTATAGAAAATTCGATTTTTATCACTGAACAACAAACACGTGTTGTTGTAAGTGGCAAGTAGCAAGTGGCATATAAATCAGTGTCAGGAAAACTACAAAATAATGCAAAAATAAAAGTTTCAACAATTATGGGGAAAAGTGGAATCTTCTCACATTTTTTTAAAATACCTCATTTGTTTGTATTATTTTATTTTGTCTCAATTGCATTTTAATTGTGGAATTGAAAAATTATTGCAAAATACATATTTAATTAATTATTCAAATACAGTATTTTGTATTTTTTATTGTTTTAGCTTCTTTAGTTGTAGATAATTTGTTTAGATACATATGAATTACGTATAATTAAAAACAAATATATGCAAATTATTAAAAGTATTTTCAACTATGGGATTTATTTTGTTATTTAAAACGTCGTTTCTTCCTATTCGTGTATTTTATATAATTTGGTTTTTCATATTTGGTTTTAATACACTTTAAGAAAAAAATGACTAATTAATGGAAATGTGTTAGAAGTTTTGAAATGTTTTGAGCAAGTGTCAGAAACATTCCATTGTGACAGGATGGTAGGAATTTTAATATTTATATTTTATTATCACTGAATAAAATATAATGACCAGACTATACTACAGATTAGACTGTAAATTAGACTATAGACTAGACTATAAAATAGACTAAGTAGTAGACTATAAACTAGGCTATAGACTAGACTGTAGGCTAAGCTATAGACTAGACTATAGACTAGACTATAGACTACACTATAGACTAGACTATCGACTAGACAATAGACTAGACTATAGACTAGACTAGACTAGACTATAGACTAGACTATAGACTAGACTAGACTATAGACTAGACTATAGACTAGACTATAGACTAGACTATAGACTAGACTATAGACTAGACTATAGACTAGACTATAGACTAGACTATAGACTAGACTAACTAGACTAGACTATAGACTAGACTAGGACTATAGACTAGACTATAGACTAGACTATAGACTAGACTATAGACTAGGACTATAGACTAGACTATAGACTAGACTATAGACTAGACTATAGACTAGACCTATAGACTAGACTATAGACTAGACTATAGGACTAGACTATAGACTAGACTATAGACTAGACTATAGACTAGACTATAGACTTAGACTATAGACTAGACTATAGACTAGACTATAGACTAGACTATAGACTAGACTATAGACTAGACTATA